ATGAATAGTGTCTGTTATGATGAGGAGCATCGACTATCTTAATCCTAACTGGTTCTAAACTGGCTCCGATCACTAAACAGGACACTATAAGTACAGAAACTGATAAACAAAACTGGAAACTTTTGCCTTACAAAACAAAAGAGTTGCTGCCATCTTTTCTGAAGGTAAAGGGTTAAATTAGCAAACTCCACATAGACCGTAAACTCTGAATCTCCGTGTTTCTTCTGTACAGGTCTAACAATCCGTATTTCTTAGTTTCCTGCTTTTTGTATACTTTGGAGTGCACTTTAATTAGAATAAGCTTAGCCCGGGTGTTCGCGGGAAAGAGAGTCCTTAATGGCGGATTCCTCTTACTGTATAAAGGTGGTGTGTAGAGTGAGGCCACTCAATGGGAAGGAGAAGGCAGCTGGTAATTCATTTGTGGTTGGTTTCCCAACAACTAACGTAGTCACAGTTGGAGTAAGTTATTAATTAATTAATTAATTAATTATTATTATTATTATTATTATTATTATTGTTATTATTATTATTATTGTTAGAATAAGACGTTTCAGTATGATAGTGTTTTACGGCACGACTCAACTCAAGAACAAGTTTATACAGCGACTGCCCAACCACTGGTGAAAGGTAACACTACAGTACATCAGTAATTGCTATACTGACCACTCCCTCCTGCCCCTCCCCCTCCAGATGTACTCTCAGGTTACAATGCTACCATATTCGCTTACGGACAAACTTCAAGTGGAAAGACTCACACAATGGAAGTATGTGATCTGTGTTAACACTGATATGATGTAACACTGATTTATGTTAACACTGATATAACACTGATTTGTGCTAGGGTGATCTTGATGATGTTAACATGAGAGGGATCATTCCAAGAATCATTTATGATTTATTTGATCAGATTTACGAGATGGATTCAAATCTTGAGTTTCATATAAAGGTAATGAGAGATTGTCTTTATGCTCAAGCTCCGCCCACTTTAGGTGTCTTACTTTGAGTTGTACATGGAGAAGGTACGGGACCTTCTTGACAGTAAGTGGGTGTGGTCATAACTCCGGTCAGTATTTAACCCTTTAGTAACTAAGGTCAATCTACCAATACACGAGAACAAGCAGAAGGTTCCCTATGTCAAGGTATTATTAATTAATTAATTAATTAATTAATTAAAGGATTGTATTGGCACAGGGTGTGACCGAGAGGTTTGTTACTGTACCCGAAGAAGTACTGGCTACAATTGAGGAAGGAAAGTCCAACAGACATGTATCAGTAACTAGTCAGTCACATGACTGTCACATGATCAGATCAT